GGCCAAGATATCGACATAGAAATCGCAAGTGCTTCTTTGCAGCCTTTTACCGAGAATCAATGGAGACTCAATCAAGAAGCAAAAATCAATGAGGTAAACATTAAAAGAAAATAAAATGATGTGTGTGTTGATCCAACGGTGAAAAATCCAGAAATTGCAGTGAAGTTACAGATAGAACCTTAAACAAAACAATTTCCTCATTTGAATTACTAGGCCTTAAACAAAACAAAACAAAACTATGGTTTCCACCATTTGAGTTACTAGGCCTGTAAACAAGCCGAGTCGAGCTTGGCTCGTTTATAACTATTAACGAGTCGAGTTCAAGCCTTAACTAGCCGATACGAGTTTTAACGAGTCGAACTAGAAATATTTTTATTAACAAATCTCTTTTCGAACCTTAACGAGTCGAGCAAGACTCGTTTAATTTAACAACACTCATCATACAGGCAAGAAAACGTGCAATCACCATTCACATTTCGGACAAAAAAGGCATGGCATTGCAAGGAGCAGAAATCAGAATAGAGCAAGTCTCCAAAGACTTCCCATTTGGATCCGCCATAGCCAGCACCATTATAGAAAATCCACCATATCAGAAATGGTTCCTGGACCGATTCAACGCTGCCGTTTTCGAGAACGAGCTCAAATGGGACGCGACCGAGCCTGCGCGTGGGCGCGTGAACTACACCACCCCGGACCAAATGCTGGCTTTCGTCCGGGCCAACCGGATCACGGCCCGCGGCCACAACATCTTCTGGGAGAACCCGGAGTACACTCCCGGGTGGGTCCGAAACCTATCGGGTCCGGATCTGGGGTCGGCCGTGTGCGACCGGGTCCGGAGCCTGCTGACGCACTACCGGGGCGAGTTCGTCCACTGGGACGTCAGCAACGAGATGCTCCACTTCGACTTCTACGAGCGGCGTCTTGGGCCCGCGGCGGCGCTGGGGCTGTTCGCGGCGGCCCACCGGGTCGACCCGCTGGCCACGCTTTTCATGAACGAGTTCAACGTGGTGGAGACGTGCGGCGACGGCAACTCCACGGTGGACGCTTACGTGGAGAGGCTGAGGGGGCTGAGGGCCGGTGGGGTTTTTATGGATGGGATTGGGCTGCAGGGACATTTTGATGAGCCCAATGGGCCGCTTATGAGGGGGGTGATTGACAAGCTCGCGACGCTGGGCCTGCCCATTTGGCTTACAGAGGTGGATATTAGCGACAAGTTCAGCAAGGAGACACAGGTGAGTGCCTTTATTTAATTTATTTTTTTTTTTCTCATCTCACTTATAAAAAAGTGAAAGGTTAGTGATTAAATTACAATTTTAGCCTTATATATAATTAAATCACAAAAATTTCTCTATAACATAATAATTATTAGCTGATAAAGTTTTAAAAATTATTTAATAACTACTAATTACCACAATTATATGTTGACTCATGTGATTATTCAATACATCTATTTCACAGGCGATCTACCTAGAAGAAGTTCTGAGAGAAGGCTTCTCACATCCTGCGGTCGACGGCATAATTCTCTGGTCGGCCATTCGACGAGGCGGCTGTTACCAAATGTGCCTCACAGACGGTGACTTCAACAACCTCCCGGCTGGCGAAATTGTCGATAAGCTCCTAAAAGAGTGGGAAACCGGAAATTTGGAGGGAAAAACCGACGAGCATGGTTCTTACAGCTTCATCGGGTTCTTGGGTGATTATAAAGTCACAGTAGGTTATAGAAACAACACGGTCGGCTCGACTTTTTCGCTCTCTAGAGGAAGGGAGACAAAACATTTTAACATGCAGTTGTAATTCCATGAAAGGATGATTGATTAATCTATTAAGGGAGTTGTTATGTATTATCTTATTAGTTGGATGTTGGTTAATTAATGTTTTTTTTCCCACGAACTGAATTGATGTTTTGAATTGAGGTTTTAAGTTCTTACAATATAAATTGATAATGTAGTAGACTTGCCTAACTATTAGGTCGACATATGCATGCATACTTTAATTAAACAAACATCATTGCTTTTTTTTTTGGTACAATAAAAGAGGCCAAAGGCCTTAGAAAACGAAACGATTAGGCTAGAACACGCCGGGGGTACGAGACCCCAATGAGATCATGTTGAAGCCAAGCGCCCAAACCAGTGAGGGGAAGCTGAACCCGATGAAACCCGATCGACGCGTAAGCCGCAAGACTTGCCATGTAGTACGCCGCAAAGTTAGCTTCTCTATGAACGTGTTGAATCGTGACCCTCCAGTCCCATTCCAACAGGCTACGAATGGCCTTGACCAACGCTACATGAGTACCGAATCTATCCTCCGTGCCGGTAACCAGTTTCGTTACACACTGACTGTCCACTTCGGCCATAACCTGTCGGAACCTCAAATCCCTCGCCAGAATTAGTCCCTGCAGTAGTCCCCAAATTTCAGCACCTGTAATAGTGCAGAAACCAATGTTCATAAAAAAAGCCTTCCACCCAATTCCCAAGCTCGTCCCTAATCAAACCACCGGCACTACTCATTCCGATAGAATTATCGCATGGTCCATCCGTATTAAAAAACAACATAAACACATGCATGTGACAATATAAATATGTACTTTGTTAATAGTATAAAAGGTTAATCCGCTCAACGATTAGACTGCCTCATATGATGATGTGTGATTTTTGTTAAATTTGTAATTAGAGAGAATGGAGCTTATACAAAATACGTAGTCAACTGCTACTCAACTAATCCTAGTCTAAATAGTTGTTATACATCACGTTCAAATTTGTATCTTTAGAAATTTAATAGCCCGAAGCGTTTTAAAGTTAGCTCAAAATCGTTATATCTAGCCTGTTTAACATCTCTATTTATTTGAATAATTGACATATAATTAAAAGGCCTTAATTAAATTACTTGTACTATGGGCTGTTAACTTAGCATTTTATTCAATATCATCATTGCAAGTACTATACATTATGGAGCATATATAGATTATAGGGAAATGCTAAGATCGCTTTACGAAACTATTCTGTGGGGATTTGTATCCGTTAGATCATCACGTAATCGTTTGAGATAGTTGATCTAACAGTTACAAACCCCGACGAAATAGTTCCGTAACGGGACCATAGCATCTTTCTAGAAAAATGGTATTATGAACAAGTGGAATGTACCACGCTATTCATAAATAGTGAAGTGAATAGTAAGGGGTATGGGATATGAATTATTTGTGTGCATTGTGTTGGTAGAATTTGCCTATAAAAGACACTCCAAATGTAGTGAAAGAACATACATACATTCAGAAGAAATATTGAGTGTAATTTATATTCAATTTCTATTTCGTATTCTTTATCTTTCCCGTTTTCATAACAGTTTGCTTTTTTTTTTTACTACCATATAGATCAATATATTACTCAACAATTAACATGATATGATGTTGAAAAATGAGTTGAAGTATTATTATTGTGTATGCATAAATATGGGCAGCCAAATCATATCTATAAGTGCATTTGATCATGAGTATCTCTCCCTCAAAGAAGAAGAAATTATTTCAAACAGAATATAAAAAAAATAAAATATAATAATAAAATTGAGCAAACTTAAATTTAATTAACTTTATACCATTCTTTATTTATTTATTTATTTTTTGTATGAGTGTATATATATATGGTCCTTACAGGCAGCAGCAGAGACAGTCAAAATGGGGGACAATTTCATTTATCATAGAATGTTGCTGGTCCCAATTATTGTCCTAATTCAACATTGGCATATAAAGCAAATTCTGATCATTTTTCATACAATTGAATTTTCATCAATATGTTTTTGCTGTATAATCACAAACAATCCCTTTTTTGGCCTGAAAATTAATTTATTGCTTCTTATGCACTGCAAATGATTGTAAATTATTTTCTTTAGGAGGCAAAAGTGTTAATTTCATATAATTCAAATTAATGATTTAATCTATCAAATTAAATAAAAATTAACAGTCAGAGTAAATAAAAAAATGATCAATTTGGGAGATACAGAAAAAAAAAAAAAAAAAA